GTTCGCTCTACTCAGCACAGCCATCCCCGTTTAGATCATTCGACCAAGGCAAGCTTAGACTATTTCACAGCTCACCTGGAAGCCCTGAGTATGACGCTCTCTGTTCTACTGCAGACGTTGTATGCAGCACAGACTATAATGTGGTCAAAGTAAGTTTTACATCCTTACACTGCACTCGGCCTCTGACCCAGTCGCATCCGCATAGCTCTATCTTCTACTTGAGGTACATCTTGGCTTGGAGTAGTATGCTGCTGACAGTCGTTCAGGTTACGTCCCACGGTATCTCCGCAACAAGCCGCTAAACTTGTTGACAACGAAAAGATTCAACTCGAGGCACTCATTGTTCAACAACAACTATCCATCTTATCAGCTTCAAACTTCTACGAACAATCGCCACGGTCTGATGCGCGCTTATTGATGGAGGCAGACAGTTCCCAGAGCTTAGTTGTCACAGAGCATGGCGAAAGCCCTAGGCCGACCAGCCTTCGATCTTATCAGGATGAGGACCTGAGAAGCCTCGACACGTCGGTATACACCGAAGCGAATGGTCTACCTGCGGTCTTCAGTATATCGGCTTCGCGCGCCGAGCACTTGCTACAACAATGGACGAGTCTGCCTCTATTTGAGCGCCGCTTACGAGACGAAGAACGTGAACTACAAAGGCAGAGACAAGAGTATCAACAAGCTACTGTAGAGTCAGATAGCGAAGAAGAGCAGAGCCGCACATCAAAGCTTTCCGGTGATGGCGCTCGGCGAACACAAAGGTCGGGCAGCATACAGCCGCTGTTCACTGAGGCCAGCAGCCTGTCTAGTCCACACCCGGAGAAGCATTACGGTCCGCCTGCACCGCCAACACCGATCGCTACACCTCGTACATCACAAGCGAGCATGCCTGCTACAAATGAACAGCAAACAGCTGCTTCGCCCCGATCCAGTCTAGGTAGTCTCCCCATCGAGGCTGCCGCCGCGGTAGAAGCGAAAGAGGAAGACAGTGAAGTCGATCTAGAAATACCTTGGAAGTTGCGTGCGCGCAAATACTACTGGCGCTTTGTCGATGCCAAGCAAGTCAGCTCGAATACTGATCAAGCGTATTCACTTGCCTATTTGGAACGTAGCAGTTGGACCGAGATCATGGCTAGTTGGGTGTGCAAGGAAGCAATCCGAGAGGCAGGTTTCAGGTTTACACAATATCAAAAGGAGCGGAGGGATAGTAGGAGAACGAGAGGGGAGACATGCTTCTGCATCGAACGTCCATTGCAGTTTGACCAAGTCAAACGTCTTGTTGAACGTACCGTTGACATCTACCGGAAAGCAGCACCACAGACTCCACCCCAACAACCACAAGCCAGGAGATCATCTTTCCATCGTGCCCCACCGCCACCTGCTCTAAAAGGAAGCGCATTCGACCGCGACAGGACACCAGTGCCGCGAAACACACATCCCCCGCTTGATCGCACGAACACGATGCACTACGCACCGCCGCCTGGGCCACCCCCACTAGACCGATCACTCTCAATGCCTGGACCGGGACTCGTCCCACCGCCACCCCAACAAAAGACCAACACCCGCACTCCAAATCTCCAGATACCGGTACCCAGTCAATATACCCCTCAACAACCACAACGCCCTCACTCCCCACGAATCCCACAGTACCCACCTCAAGCCAACGGACACCCATCCCAGCCGATGAACGCACCACCATACTACCCACCACCGCCAAACACCCCTTTTGCAAACGCACCCGCGCCCCCACATACACCAATCCAAAACCAGAATTACCCTGTACAAGCCTCGCCTCTCCGCCAATCCTACATGAACCCCACTTATGCCGGCAACCGACGACATGACGACGACTTTACCACATCCGAGTCTGAGCTCGAACGCCCAAGACGGCGCAGATCCAAATCGAGGAGTAGAGCGTATGAGAAGGAGAGGGAAAGGGACAAGTATGGCAAAAAAAGTCATACAGGGAGGAAGGCCGCGGCGGGCGCGTTGCTGGGTGTTGGCGGGTTGACCGCATTGTTGGATGGGTTGAGCGGACTGTAGAATGTACGAATTGCATGATTTGATCTTGCCACCGCTTTGAAGTCTTGAGCGCAAGGTACCCAACGGATTAGTTGCTTGTATAATGACTTACGAATTCATAATGAAGAAGTATCTCGCACTTTCATACCTTCTTTACCATCTTCGACCGTGCAAATCAACATGACGAGTTCCTCAAAACAAGCATTAATCAGAGAATTAGTCTGGAAATAACAGCGATGCATTGAAACCACAAAGGCGTTAACTAGGGCCAGAAAAAGAAAGCCTACGTAGGGACAGAATAGGAATACGCGACACCATCCGCCTCTTCCGACCACCCATTCAACACCCCATCACATCATTCCTCTTCCCAAGCTCTTCAAGCGTAGTCTACTCTAGCAAAACCATCCTTCGCACAGAGCATACCCAGTATTATTCTGCCATTACCGCTTCACCGTTGTTACAGATGTGCTCGCTAGCCGGGTCCGGACACGAATCATTCTCGGACTTGTCCAGGTGACTGGGTATCTCAGATTGAGTCGTTCGCGCAGGAGCCGTACAGGCGATGTGCTGTGGAGTCGCAGGCAATGCCATCACAGCCAGATCTAAGGTGGAGTCCTCGGATGCGACGGTGCGCTCCATGACCTCGTCGCCCGTTTCTGAGTGGGAACTGTGTTCGCTGAAAGTGTCAACTGGCACATGCGGTTCGACGCGGGTGTGTTGATCGGTGGCTCCGTCGACATGTGGTTGTACCCCAGTGGCTCCCTCTGTATCATCTTCCTCTCCTTCAAAGCAAACCACTGTCTCGCCAGCAAGCTCAGAAACCGCCGCACATTCCCCAACTGTAGTCGTCACATTTCCTCCCTGCCCAGTAACCCCCCCTCCAACCGCCATAGGCATAATCATCACCTCCCCCAACCCCCCATTTGGTTGCCGCACAACGACACCCTCAGCACCCGCGCCGTCACCGCCCCAAAACCCCGTTGTACGCCCTTCAATCAGCAACTTCGATTCCTTCTCGTTCTGGATCAGCGAGCAGCACGTGCAAAACCACGTCTTGAGTATATCGGCAACACAAGTGCCGCCGAGGTCGCCTAGTTTGCGGATCCGATAGGTTTGCCATGCGAAGGGGACGCAGACGAGGAAGCCGTGGGCGAGCGGGGTACAGCAGAGGAACGAGTAGCCGTATGCTATGCACTGTTGCCGGTAGTGTCAGTCAGGAATCTGAGAAGGAATTATGCGGTGGGATAGTGTGGGACGCTAATCGAAGCTGGATGGAACTTTGTCAGGGAGGGAAATGGCGTACCGGCACGTTGACAATCTCATAGCCACTCATGTCGCCATTGTAGTGAAGACGATGCCACGTCTTTCCGCAAGTGACGCAAGGACAGAAGAACGTGACGATACCTACGCTACTTGTTAGTCCATCTTTCTTGTCATCCCCATCCTCATACCAACAAGTGTGGAAAGACTTACATAAGGGCAGCGGATTCAAGCAATCCTAGAGACTTGTGTTCCACGGCTTGGTACGACGCAAATCTGCTTCGATCTCTTCTCTCGCTAATGCAGTCCAGTCTGATATCTGGGAGCCGCACCATCGTCCCCATCGTGAGATGGTGTCACGGGTCTTTTGGAGGGACGGGTGTTCTGCGAGGCGGTCTGGCATTGTGGTATGATGGGCCGACTTCCTGAAAGCGAGTTGATCTCAGCACGGTGTCTAGGGTGAGAGAAAATGATGTATTCGATGCCGAGTATGCTGATGCTATGTGGGAGGGTGCGCGAAGAATAGAGTGGATGGTGTGGCGCAGATGATGTCTGGGAAGGCAAGAGAAGTAGATGCGTGAGCGACTGATATGGACCTCAACTCGCCGGGTAAGGACGATAGAGCCAGGAACCAGGTGGGAGGCGGTGGCGACTAAGAAACAGTCTCCGTCAACTAGTGAAGTCTCAATGATTCACGGTTACCGCATTGGCAATGTATAGCGGGACATGCACAGCAGTTCTAGTTAAGATGATGAAGTGATATAATGTTCTGGAGACAGCCACGCCAAGTTGAGGGACGGTAAGATGCCACGTAATGTCACATTATGATAAATGTGAAGCAACTGAGGAGGAATGTATGCAAGTATCAAATCGCATGCATTGTATAGGCCACGCATATTGGCAGCGCATACTAGTCTATGTAACTAATCATTTGCTCGAAACTATACTTTTATCAGATTCCTTCCACCCAAGTCACGGGGTCAGGTCCGCATATGCGCATGCAAACCAAAACGAGCATTTAAATCCCACCGCCGAGCTGGCCTTGGAAAGACAGCCACCATGATGGTTACCACAAAGAACCGGGGGTATCTTCCTTCGTACAAAGGTTGGGTCGTGGCTAGACCTTCATGAACGCCATCTATGCAGTAAACTTTTCCGTCGTCCAAAACAGGGTCATGCTGCTACTCTCCGCGTGTGGAGAGACCGAGAGACGCAAGGACGACGAGAAAGACGTTGTCGTCGAGGGGTATGACCGGGAAAAAAGGAACCGCTTTTGTCGTAAGATAAGGAAATGCTCAGAGAGGTCATCCGCGTGTGGAAGACTCGGAAAGCGAGAATCTATAGCTCCCCAAGCAGCATGCTTGCAGAAGAGCGAAGTCGTGAAATGTTCGTAATGCATGCCTTTGCGAGAAAGACGAGGGTCCTGCCATCTATGTTCGAGCTCGACAAGAGTGCGTCGAAGGGTATCGTATGCGAGAAGAGCTCGAAAACAGGCAGATCCGCAAAAAAACAGTCGCTGTCTATATGCTGATTGGGGTATGAGATTCCAGATTTCCGCATCGATCCGCGGTAACCGGGAAAGATTCGCAGAAAACATTCGCAAGTGAAGGAAATCGAAAGCAAGCCATCGGTAGCGGCGACACGAAGGCCCAGGGTATCGTAGAGAAGAAAATGTGTCCCGGGCTGGCTATATCGTGAAGCGGTGCGTAGCACGTTTACCACCAAGAGTTGCCGCCAGGGCCGGATGGGTTGCCGTAGCCTCCACCAAAGCCGCCGCCGCCACCACCGTAGCCGCCGGGAGCTGGAGGAGCGTAGCCACCGCCGGGAGCACCGCCGAAGCCACCTCCGTAGCCACCTTGAGGAGCACCTCCCCACTGGCCACCGCCACCGCCACCGAAACCACCACCGCCCATGCGACGAACGTCACGGGTAGCAGCGTTGCCACGGCCACGGCCGCCTCCACGGCCACCACGACCTCCACCGAAGCCGGAGCCCTCGCGAGCAATGGACTCGAGGAAGCTAGGGACCTCTTGGTTGGCCTCCTTCAACAGGTCAAGGAGATCGCGTACGACTCCGCGATTGCCGCGGTTGAAGAAAGCAGTGGCAATACCAGTGTTTCCAGCTCGTCCAGTACGACCGATTCGATGAACATAATCGTCAATGTCGGTAGGAAGGTCATAGTTGACTACGTGCGTGACATTCGGGATATCCAGTCCTTTGAAATGAGTCAGCAAGGTGTTCAAGGGTTTGCAGAATACAGTGGTTGCTCAAGGCTTGAACAACCTGGAAAACTTACCTCGGGCAGCTACAGCGGTAGCGACGAGGATGGGGCAACGTCCAGTTCGGAACATCTCCAGGGCCTTTTCACGCTCACGCTGAGTGCGGTCACCGTGAATGGAGGTGGCGGGGAAGCCCTGGTTGATGAGGAAGTCGGACAGCGAGTCGGCCATACGCTTCGTCTCGACGAAGATCAGGGTGAGACCAGCACCGTGTGTGTGGAGAATATCAAGGAGAACAGAGCGCTTGTCGCCGTCCTCGACGTACTCAATCTTCTGGGTGATGTTCTCAGAAGTGGAACCGACACGACCGACCGAAAGGAAAATGTAGTCCTTCAAGAAGTCGCGGGCGAGCATCTGAATATCGCGGGGGAAGGTGGCCGAAAACATGAGTGTCTGGCGGGCAGCGGTAGGAGGCATGTCCTCACCCTCAACGATACGGCGGATCTGAGGCTCGAAACCCATGTCCAACATGCGGTCAGCCTCGTCGAGAACGAGGTACTTGATGCTAGCCAGGGAGATGCGGCCACGCTCGATCAGGTCGACGAGACGACCGGGGGTAGCAACGAGAAGATCGCAGCCGCGCTCAATCTGGCGAAGCTGAGAGCCAATGTCGGCACCACCGTAGACGACGCAAGGACGGACCCAGGAGCGGTATGCGAACTTGCGGGCTTCGTCGAAGATCTGGGAGACCAACTCACGGGTAGGAGCAAGGACGAGCGAAGTGGGGTAAGCCTTGCGTTGACGTCCGTATCCACCCTGAGCCTGTGCGGGAGGAGGAGAGGGGCCATTCTGGAAGGCCTGGGCGAGAATGGGGAAGAGGAAACCACCAGTCTTTCCGGAGCCAGTCTGGGCACAAGCCATGAGATCACGGCCACCCATGACGATGGGGATGGAGTACTTCTGTACAGGAGTGGGAACCTTGTATCCGGAGAGCTCGATGTTGCTCAGCAGGTGGTCATCGAGAGGCGGGTTTGTGAAACGTGTGACGGGTTCGGGGACACCCTGACCAGAGGCCTCGACGGGGATGTCATCGTACTTCTCGAAGTTGATACCGGTCTGTTGCTTGGAGGGGTCGTTGGGCATGCCGAAGAGGTCGCGCTCGAGGCGCTGGTTGGGCGGGCCGGGAACGTGCTTGCCGTCCTTCCAGGCACCGTCGCCAGACCCGCGGGCGCCTCCAGAGCCACCGCCGCCGGGCTTGCCGTAGGCGTTGGGGTCAAAGTTGCCGCGAGGGGCACCGCCCCATCCACCGCCTGGGGGACCGTCGCGACCGCGGGGAGTGAAGTTGGGTGCGTTGGCCCAGCCACCGGCACCGCCGCCGCCGTTCATCTGAGGGGGAGGACCCTGACTGTCACCAGTTAGCATACCTTCCTGTTTCGTGTCCTGGGTGTTGACTGACCCTCCGGGGCCCCACGCGCTGCCGCCGAGACCGCCGCCGTTCATCATCGGGGGCGGGCCGTCCATGGGTGCAGGGCCTCCGGGACCGCCCTGGGGACGGCCGCGAAGGTGAGGGGGGATGTAGGCAGAACGCTCGCCGTTGAAGCCGTTCTGGGGGTTGTGCTGGGAGTCGTTGATGTTGAGACGACCCATGTCGAGTTGTTCAGCCATGATGGGCGTGGTGGAATCGAGTTGGTTGAGGGTGTGTTTGGGAGTGCAATGTGCAGGGCGCAAATTACAGATGTGCTGGCTTCGGCTGGCTCGGCGGTGAGCGACAGACGAAAAGTAGCAGGTCTAAGTGACGAAACTCGTAACTCGCAGGCGGGTGCCTGAGACTCGTTCTGTCAGGAAAGAAGGGAACGCCTCTGTCCTGAAAACGAGAAGTAAAGAAGTGAAGACCAAAAGAAAGGACTTCACAGGAAAAGAGCTTGTAAGGTTGTGCAATACACACAGAGTAGTTTTGGAGGGTGGGTGGTTAGGGAAGAGGGAGACGGCCGCAGGTAAGTTAAAAAAGCGTGTCGGAGAACCCTTCCCGCACTAGTCCCCGTTGGCGCTAGCGCTCCCTCTCAGAGTTCTCAGGCTGTGGCGAGTGGGGAGCGGTGAACGTCACAGATGGAAGCTGTCGTGTGCTGCAGCAGGCTTGCTTTTCATGCGACATGCACTGTGACATGGCCGCAGTTGAATGTAGTGGCGGCCTTTCTAGGTGCTTGTGCAGGCTCCAGGCCATCCTGTGCGACTGTGCCATGGCTTTAGATAACCCAACATTTGTCTTCTTTGCTTTTACCCTGGACGTGCCCTGGCCGTTGCACATCGTCATCGGCGGGTAATGCAGGGACTGCAAGGACATCGTATCCCCTCTACCCTAGCTAGCGTCTTGACACACTAGAGAGCCATGTTCACCATGTATCAGATCAATGCTCTACTAAAGGAACGTTTCTGCATTTCGTCGTAATCTAGGCCATGCTCTTCTCCTTGAGCCCACCCATAATGTTGCTTTGCCCTCCATTTCGCGTTTTCAAGAAGAGCACGCAAATCGCAACGACAGCCCCGATAAAGAAAAGCTTCTGACCGACCGACAAACCATCAGCAGAACCAGCAGCAGCAGCCAGGCCAGGAATTTTGCCCTTGGTGGAAGAGGCCTGGGATACCTCAGCAATGTTGACGATATCGTCGTGAGACGGAGTCGCTGTGATATCGAGTTCGTCGCCAGGAATGGCTGGTTCAGCATGGCCGTATAAATCTTGAAGAAAAAGGTACAACTATCAGCAGCTCTCCAACCTGAGGGGTCGACTCAATAGCAAAGAATGCGTACTGATGTCTAGAGTTCCGCGTGAATACCTTCCTCTGGCACCTCGAGCTCTCCGCTCTTGGCGATCTTGACAGTCTGGACCGGCTTGTCTCCAGCACCCTTCTTCACGTTCTCAATCTTCTCCACGACCTCGTAGCCCTCGAGGACCTCTCCGAACACGACGTGGCGGCCATCGAGCCAGCTGGTGATGACGGTGGTGATGAAGAACTGAGAGCCTAGGATAGTCAGTGCATGCTGCAGGGAGTGAAGGGGAAGGGTACTCACCGTTGGTATCTTTGCCAGCATTGGCCATGCTGAGGAGACCCTTGCGGGTGTGCTTGAGCTTGAAGTTCTCGTCGGGGAACTTCTCTCCATATATGCTCTTACCTCCTGTACCATCGCCTTTGGTAAAGTCTAGCCGTTGATCAGCATTGTGAATCCTAGACCCGGGCATGAGTCGGACTTACCACCACCCTGGATCATGAAGTTGTTGATGACGCGGTGGAAAGTAGAGCCTTCGTAACCGAATCCCTTCTCGCCAGTAGCGAGAGCACTGTAGTCTATGTCAGCCCCCAGAATTATGCGTAGACTTGTATCCGTTCGTACCGGAAGTTCTCAGCGGTCTTGGGGACGGTCTTGCCGTAGAGACCGATGGTGATGCGGCCTAGCTCTTCATCGCCGTGGGTAACGTCGAAGTAGACCTGAATATAGTCAGCAAGTCCGTCTATTCATCCGATTGAAAGCTATACACACCTTGTGAGTGATCTTTGGACCCTTCGCAGCCTCGGTGCTCTGAGCAAAGAAGACGAAAGTGATCGAGAGGATCAAGAGGAGCGAAATGACAGCTCTCTGGATGGTAGCCATGGTGCCTGATTGTGTCGGGAAACAATCGAGGGAAGTCGCAAGGTTAAGTAGTTTGGACAGCCCCCTGCGGAATGCGATGGTGGAGGAGGTGTTGAAACGTTGCGTTTTACCTAGGTAGAGCCATTGCCCGCACTGTCGCACTAGCGCCGGCTGGGTCTAGCGGGAAACGGAAGTCTGGAGTTCGAGATCAGACACGACAATTGACACTCCAACACGCGAACTCGCCGTCGGAACGCTGACCCGCCATGGTACGCTACTGGAACGCCCATTTCCCCTTGCGCGCGTCTTACTGACGGTTTAGGTGTTCATCAACGGCTTCAGCTTCACGGAAGCGACGCTCGTGAAGCGATCACTCGAATCTTTCTTTGGCATCGGGCCCTCGGTCTCGCAGCGCATTATGGCGAAATTCTATATCCACCCGTGGGCGAAGGTCGGCAGCTTGAAAAACGCCACCGTCATGGATCTGACCGCGGAACTGGCCAACATGAAGATTGAGAACGATTTACGGCGGCAAGTGCAGGACGACATCCGGAGATTGAGGGATATGGGCACATATCGTGGAAGGAGACACGCTATGGGCTTGCCCGTGAGGGGCCAGAAGACAAGGACACAGGTAGGTTTGGCCCTAGGAGAGTGGCTGTGGTCTTGGTCGGTCAATGGGCTAACAATCGCAGATTGCTACTGCGCGACGGTTGAACAAGATGGAGCGAGGCGGTAGTGGAAGAGTGGGGCTGTAAGGAGTACGAAAGCCTACGAGTGTATTATACTGTATGGTGCGCGGGCACAGACCCGTGTCTACAAGACGCCATTAGAAGGAAAACATGGATTAACGACACAACTACATTGAGTATATCAGACGCTTTTTCTTAGTATCTCCATTCGAGGTGAGCCGATGCTTCGACAGTGTTACAACGGAGTCCAGCAATGCGGAGCCTTGTCTCACTGTCTCTGCATCGAAAACGCGATCTGTGATTCAGAGACAGTGTAGTTGTGCAGACCTTCACCCGGCCTCAAACTCTTCTTTGCAGATGAAGTCCATTAGTGCAACTCATTTGGAAGTTGACAAGTCGAACTGATCGCTACCCCAGTTGCCCAGCATCGGATACGAAGCTGTCAAGGTCAGTGTGAAGGATGTCAGGATCGATAGATAAATTACACCTAAGATTTTGTATAACAGAGTAGCAGCTGCTTGGTGACAGCCAGGTGTCTTGTAGCTATGGGAATTAACAATCTGAATATTGAAGCACATGTCTGTTTTGGGTCCGGTCATCCTGACATGGATCAAAAGCTGTGGGGAATGTGAAAATGCTCGCGAATTCGCTTGACAACTCGGGACTCGAGTTCAATGGACAGTATGCCACTCAACACACGGTTTCGTAATGCTGATTGACGGCTGCTCACTGTTTCGAACAGTACGTTATGAAGCAAGTGGTTTGCAAACGCCGAGGCAACAATGACGATATTATCTTCCATGATAGCTATTTTCGAAAGTTATTCAAGCGTCCACATTGTTCCCTGCTCAGAAATTGGCTTTGACTTTGCGTTCGCTCGGTACACATTGCCTCCCGTGAATTAGCCTCGAACGCTACACCATGCGGTTTCTTCTTCTTGGACAGGCAGAACCCGTCCATGTTCTCACTGTATCTGCCTGCATCGCTTTCCTCGTAATTTCCAAAGCAACATACCTGTGGATGTACGCAGATGTAGCGAATGGGAAGTGGAACGTTTTGAGGGCATAATGGTAGGCGTTTGTTCATTGAGCAAGGGGCTCCATACTGGGTTTACCCACGCAGTAGCTGTCCCATGGCGCAAACCATCACAAGGTTCCGATGAGGCGTTATTGGCCTCCATCTTGGCGCCACTTCACTCTCCGATCTATACTTCCTCCACATTTGATGGCAGGAACTGTAGGTCCAGGCGGCGGTTAGCGGTCCAACGGGAGCTTACATTCCGGACGGAGCTCTCACAGGTATGCGCATGCATTGATGAAAGACTACCATTTGCAAATGAGGATAGCTTTCCTTTCACCGTAAGTTCCGCATATTACCAGAGATGTAATGTCCGCGCTCCTGTTGATGCAGTCTTGTCAATTTAGACGTTGGTGATTTGTCCTGTTCAACGCAGCAAAGCTCGTATTTGCAATAATCACGAAGATCATAATACTTCGGTGTTGCCCCTCGGAGCTGGATATGCGATGTATAATTAGACGTGAGAGAGGCTTGCGGCTTGACCCAACTCGCATGGAAACAACTGTTCCGAGTTATGCTTGCCATGTCTTTGGGGTAGCGTCTGCCTCAGGTTCACCCTGCATCTGTGGAGGGAATGCGTGCGGTCGAAGGATGTGGGTGCTGGACCATCAAGGAGGCTGTTCATGCCGCATCTTTACTCGCCCGAGTGATGATGTCCGCTGCAATGTCGCATCTCATTTCCACGGCTTGCGGTGGGTACTAGCGCAGAGACAGAAAAAACAAAAGACGTTTCTCGGCCTCAATCATCCAAATTACCCCTGACAGAGCATTGCAAAGAGGAATTATTAGTCTGGGCCTTGGGTTCGTTGCGCAGCCTAGGTGCAGCTCGTGATCACCATGTGGCGACGGTTACGGTCTAGTCGTGGAGCTATCAGCGGCTCCCTGCAGTACACTTCGCTTGACGGCGGATGAGTTTCAGATGTAATCGCAGGTCGGTAGGAATCGTATGATCCTGATATGCGTTCCAAGCGGCATGTATCTGCCGTCAGCATACTCGAGCATCCAGCCGCGGTGCAGAGCGGATGGTTGGGCACTCATGGTGATGGACGGCATGCGGTGGTTGTCTCTGAGAGTTCGGAGCTGCTGCATCTACGAGTGCCAAGTGATCGACGGATCTAGCCCCGATTCGGCCTGGCAAATCCTTCGTGCTGCAGCGACCCAGCCGGCAGCCCTTCAACTCGAACGCCTCCGTGCGCAAGAGACATTATTACCACGACCATCCAATCGACGGCCAGACGGCTGGCGGAGTTGCTCTCGAGTCTGCCATGAGTCGCAGATTATCGCGCCGCCGAATCAATACACTCTCTGGGCTCGCATGCCAAATCATCTGGGCTGTAGCCAATAGGTGGGCATTTGGCACCTTTTGGCTTGTCAGGCTGTTGTCAGCTTGCCTGCGGGCACCAGCGACAGCAGACCACGCGCACATCTCGTTCTGCACAAGAGGGGCGGTGGATGGTGGCTCGTAGTTGATTACGGCTAGCAAGCCACAGGTGTGCGCCAATGGAAAAGCCAAAGTAGCTTTCTGGCGCCTACGCGGGCAGGTGGTCGACGGGGATGCAGACGGGTTTGGGCACATCTAAAACGTGAGGGGACGCAGCCATCAAGGCGTGCGGAGGCGATGATGGAGACGACGGCCTACAGGGCTCGCTTCTGCTGCAGGAACCAGGCTTGACTTTGGCCCGGCTCCTACAAGGGCGGTTATGGCGCCGAATGAGAAGCCGGCAGGCGACAAGCCCAAATCTCTTCTGTTCCGGCTGCTCCTTCTGACGGAGACTTGTCTCAAGCTGCGCGGGACGCCAGATGCTGACGAGACTGCTGAGCGTGGCAGCTTTGGATTCACCAGACACTCAGAGCGTCGCCGAAACACTAATCCCCACTGGCCGTCTGCTATACCGTCGACCAGATATCCCGGTCGTCCGCTAGCCCGTTTGAGCCTTGGACATGGCGGCGACGAATACAGACATGCACATGCTCCAGGAAAGGACGGCGGCACATCACATCGCTCAGCACCAGCCGCCGTCGCCCTTGCACTCTCTCTCCGCGCCGTCGCTCGCGGACAGTATTCGCAGCCTTCGCGACGACTCGACGCGCTCGCACAACGTGCCGGCCACGGCGGACGAGCAACACCCGCCCCGAGCACGTCGCAAACCCGTCCCAAGCCCGCTGTATTCGACTGGTAAGAGCGGCCCCCCGTGCCAGCAGCCGGGCTACCGCGACTCACCACGCCTCGACGAACCGCGCAGTCCGCGCGAGAAGCTCGACGCATTGCTGGCGGAGGAGCAACAGCATACCTCGCCCATTCGCCCAACCCAGCCAGCGCACCCGCCTACACCACCCACCGTCCCCACCCCGAGCTTCGCGCAGCCGTCGCGGCCGTCTGCGTATGCCAGACTCCGCCAGCTGTCGTCTCCCACGCTGTCTTCGGCTGGCATTTCCCCGCCAGCCTCGCCCGTCACCATGCCTCCACCATCACGCCCGAACCGGCCAGACACGAGGCCGACGGTGCCAGTCCGCAACCCCTCGATAGACTCGGCCGCATCCTCGCTGTCGTCGACGGCCTCGCAGAACCGCCCGCCCGCCAGCCATGCGCCCCGGCCGTCGCAGGACACGAGCACCGCCAACCCCCCAGACATGGCCAGTCTGATGGCCGCTGCAGGCTCACCCGAGGCCGCCATGCTGGCCCTGTGGAAGGACAAGCAGAACACGTCCAGCCACAACGCGCAGCTCTGGCGGCTGGTGGAGAAGCAACGGTCCATGATCATCGGGCTCCAGAAAGACCTCGAGCGCGCACTGAAGGACAAGGACCGCTACCGCAGAAAGTTCAAGGAGTACGCTGAGCAGCTGCCACCCGGTCCCGGCTCGCTGCAAAAGTCCGACACGTTCGACTCGGTCGTGGAACGCGAGACCAGCCAGTCGCCAGCCCTCAGTGAGCAACCTGGTGACGCCGCTCGGCCCAGCGACACCAAAGCCACCGAGCACAAGACATCGCCCCTGACGCAAGAGCACCCCGCACCGCATCTCATCCCAGACTCACAGCTAGCGACGTCGCCGTCTCATTCCACGGCATCCAACATCTCGTCAGCCGTAAACTCACCTACAGACTACTCCGTGCAACCCCTTAGCCTTGGTAGCAGGGGCCTCGGCCTCGACTCTACATTGCTGCACCCCGGCGATGCTGCTCAGCCCCCAGCGCAAGCCCCGAAGCCAGCCACTCCTCCCCAGAACACCTCAGACGTGACGCTCGTCCCGGGC